ATCCTTTTGCTTATGATGTAGATTTATTTTCTATGATGATTTTATTCTTGGTATCATCATATAGTCATTTAAAAAAAATTCTAGATTGTCCTACGAAGCAGGTCAGTTACGTTTGGATTGCCTTGACCTATTGTCTGCAATGTAAGCTAACCAATTTTTCGACTTCAATCACTACCAAGATTTGAGGCTTCTCTCAATCGAGAATAATGCAGCTAAAAGGTTTTTTTGATTGTATTGTTCTTCTTGATCATGAAGGTGTGATATGTCTCAAAGCTCTTATGGCACAACAATTAAAAAACTAATGGTAGCATAGAAATATTTAATATTGATGATGCACAAAAGAAGGTTTATGCAAAATCAATCAATGGATGAAGTGAGAAGGACTCAACACATATAAACACAAAGATTGGGGTGGATTTGGTTTGGAAGACCAACTCTACTAGGAAAGGCTAAAGTGGTTGAAAATTATTATTACTCAAGAGTATATTGTGATGAGACGTGTGTGATAACCCTCATGTGCATGTGAGACTTACAATTTATAGGGGAGTGCAGTCTTCAAGTCGCCTTAGAGCGGGGCTTTGATAGAGGTGCCATAGAGGAGAGTTCTGATTAAGGCATCACTTTTGTGATGAGAGTGAATGGCTTCGTGATGTTAGCGTAACAGACAAGGTGGTTGAGACTTGCGATGTGTACCCTGATTTTCTTTCTAAGATGTAGATCTCACGTGCGCCACTAGTAGACTAGATTTTTCCAAGACAATGAGCTTGGTCTGGGGCGGGGTGTATATGTGACCTAGGCTTGGTCTGTATTTCAAAACTAAGCCTCTAAGCTAGGTCTGGTCTATAATTCTGGATTGGGCCTAGTCTAAGCTGGCCCATCATTTTTCTCCATGCCCTAAGCGCAATGGGATTTGAGGGAGAGGACATTAATAAGAAATCTTGTCATTGTCCTCTTTTAGAAAGTGAACTTTGATTAGAGAGAGGTAGACACNCACTAGTAGACTAGATTTTTCCAAGACAATGAGCTTGGTCTGGGGCGGGGTGTATATATGACCTAGGCTTGGTCTGTATTTCAAAACTAAGCCTCTAAGCTAGGTCTGGTCTATAATTCTGGACTGGGCCTAGTCTAAGCTGGCCCATCATTTTTCTCCATGCCCTAAGCCCAATGGGATTTGAGGGAGAGGACATTAATAAGAAATCTTGTCATTGTCTTCTTTTAGAAAGTGAACTTTGATTAGAGAGAGGTAGACATNTGAGGTGTGTGAGTAAAATGACAACAAAAATCAAGAACATAGTGAGTGAAGTGTTTCCCCAGCTGAAGAACTTGGTAAATCTTGCTCCTAGGGGTTGGATTACTGGGAGGGGAACATTACAATTACAGTTTTTTATACACAGTTGGCCTTTTGGTGTGTAATTGCTCATCTAACATTACAAGGCAAAGATTTGTATATTTATACTTGTAGGCAGAGTAGTCTTTAAGTAACGATGGGGGTGGTACCCTAGTTTATTAGGATGTTGGAGGAAAAATATTGGACCGTTAAAGACTACATTCCCCTAGGCATGACGTAGCGTTCTAAAAATTGATAACGTGACATTGATGACCCTATCCTTGGTCAGATGCTATTCTTCCCCTTTTACCCCTAATCTTCTCGTGGATTGAACCATTTTAGATTAGTCAAACTTATTTGGAAATGGTTGAACTTGTTCCAGTTGTGACAAAGCAGGATTAACGTTTGGATTGCCTTGACCTATTGTCTGCAGTGTGCAGGTCGGTTACTATGTCCCTTAAGCCAATAATCCTTTTGCTTATGATGTAGATTTATTTTCTATGATGATTTTATTCTTGGTATCATCATATAGTCATTTAAAAAAAATTCTAGATTGTCCTACGAAGCAGGTCAGTTACGTTTGGATTGCCTTGACCTATTGTCTGCAATGTAAGCTAACCAATTTTTCGACTTCAATCACTACCAAGATTTGAGGCTTCTCTCAATCGAGAATAATGCAGCTAAAAGGTTTTTTTGATTGTATTGTTCTTCTTGATCATGAAGGTGTGATATGTCTCAAAGCTCTTATGGCACAACAATTAAAAAACTAATGGTAGCATAGAAATATTTAATATTGATGATGCACAAAAGAAGGTTTATGCAAAATCAATCAATGGATGAAGTGAGAAGGACTCAACACATATAAACACAAAGATTGGGGTGGATTTGGTTTGGAAGACCAACTCTACTAGGAAAGGCTAAAGTGGTTGAAAATTATTATTACTCAAGAGTATATTGTGATGAGACGTGTGTGATAACCCTCATGTGCATGTGAGACTTACAATTTATAGGGGAGTGCAGTCTTCAAGTCGCCTTAGAGCGGGGCTTTGATAGAGGTGCCATAGAGGAGAGTTCTGATTAAGGCATCACTTTTGTGATGAGAGTGAATGGCTTCGTGATGTTAGCGTAACAGACAAGGTGGTTGAGACTTGCGATGTGTACCCTGATTTTCTTTCTAAGATGTAGATCTCACGTGCGCCACTAGTAGACTAGATTTTTCCAAGACAATGAGCTTGGTCTGGGGCGGGGTGTATATATGACCTAGGCTTGGTCTGTATTTCAAAACTAAGCCTCTAAGCTAGGTCTGGTCTATAATTCTGGACTGGGCCTAGTCTAAGCTGGCCCATCATTTTTCTCCATGCCCTAAGCCCAATGGGATTTGAGGGAGAGGACATTAATAAGAAATCTTGTCATTGTCCTCTTTTAGAAAGTGAACTTTGATTAGAGAGAGGTAGACATAACAGGGCTATAGAGGGGGAGTTATGGGTGGTTCACGAGGAAGCTACACCTCTTGAGGCCGAGTTTTTAAAGACTGAGGCTGTTTGTGTGAGAGTAGAGTTAGAGTTAGGTCAAACTTTTGGCGACTCGCGAGAAAATTGTTAAGTTGGAGATTGAGAATACTTGCATGAGAGTAGAGGCAGAGTTATGCCAAACTTTGGGCAACTCGCGAGAGAATAGTTAAGCTAGAGACTAAGGCTACTTGTGTATGAGCAAAGGTAGATTTAGGCCAAGCTTCGAAAGACTTGCAAGAGAGTTGCTAAATTGAAAATTGAGGTTACTTGCGTGAGAGAAGAGGCAAAGTTTGGCCGAGTTTTTGATGATTTGGGAGGCTCTCAACCAAGAGACAAAAAGAGAAGGGGAAATGACAGCGAGGGTAGCCAAAGGGCATTGATAAGATAGAGCGAGCATGGGCGTTGCACATGAGGCGAGGGTGCTTGATGCGCTACGAGGGGTGACGTCAGACACCAATGGCGCTACTAGATAAGGTGGGCACACGATGTGGGCTGCGCCAAGACAGACACCAAAGCGAGGTGTGTGGGCGCTGGTTTGTGCGCGTTAGCGCTAAGTGGGCTCAACACATGCAAACATAAAAATTAGGTGGATTCAGTTTGGGTAACCTACTCCACTGAAAATGGCTATAGTGCCCAAAAATATTATTACTCAAAAGTGTAGTGTTCTAAGATGTGTGTAATACCCCTCATGTGTAGGTAAAACTTACAATTTACAGGGGAGTACAATCTTTATGATGCCACAGACAAGCTTTGATGGAGGTGTCATTGTGGGGAGTCTTGATTAAGGCGTCACTCTTATGATAGGAGTGAGTGGTTCTGTGATGTTGGCATAACAGACGAAGTGTTGAGACTTGTGATGTATACCTTACTTCCCTTCCTAAGATGGAGATCTTACGTGCGTCAGTAGTGGATTAAATTTTGTAAGACGATGGGCTTGGCTGAGCTGGACTAGACTAAATTGTACCNGTTGGCATAACAGACGAAGTGTTGAGACTTGTGATGTATACCTTACTTCCCTTCCTAAGATGGAGATCTTACGTGCGTCAATAGTGGATTAAATTTTGTAAGACGATGGGCTTGGCTGAGCTGGACTAGACTAAATTGTACATTTAACTTGGGTCTGATCTGTATTTTTAAACTGGGCATTTAGAAATTGACCCATCAAATATAATGTTAATATCAAAAACAAGGTATCACAATTTTACTATAAATAAATGCATAAATTATTAAACTTTGTTAATTCATTGTAATAATCTATTTAATATTATAGTTAGTCAATAGATATAAAAGATGGTGGTAGTTATTGGATTAAGTTAGATTCAATTGTAGTAATGCATCCTTTTTTGTAATATATCAATAAAATTATATAACAAATGTCATAACATCACCAAAATATTTTATTTATGAAAATAAAGGGGTGAGATTTAGGAATATATTATTTTAACCTAATTTAATTATAATGATTAAATTAAAAATAAATTCTATCTAACATTAAAATTTGTAATTAATTTAACAATTAAATTAAATCCGGTCCTTAAATTAGATGATATACTATTGCTCCTATCAGAAAAATAGAATCACAACGTTAAATGGATCGACAGGTACAGTAATAGTAGCAGCAGTAGTCGACGACTACTAGTAATAGTGGTAGTAGGAGTAGACGACTAGTCGTCTCACAAATGAAGCAGAGAGAGCTTGCCAAAAGGAGGGGTCGCGTGCGCACGTGCTGTTCTTCACACGATCCCGTAGGCGTAACAAACATACTTATCACAATAATTATAATTCCCCCCCCCCCCCTCTTTCCCCTCTCAAAAAAAAAAAACAGTGTAAATAGATACTAGAGAAATTGGGTAAAAAAGCGATTATACGATCAGCGGCCCACGATTCATATAAACTCACCGGACGGTCAAGATCTTCCGATGCTTTTCATTTCACACACAGAGTTCGATGTATCGCTTTCGGCCTGGAGATAGCGACACCAGCTAGCTAGCTGTGACCCCGCCTTAGTGTCAGTGGACCCACCACCTCTGTGTACAAAAGGCGGGAAGGGAGCCCCAATATTTGTCATTTGGTCATTTCATTCGTAGACGCCTCAGTCTTACTCTTACACACACGTACATAGATATGTCCCTCTACCTCTCCCTCTACGTACAGAGAGAGAGAGAGAGAGAGAGAGAGAGAGACTCTGAATAATAGTAGAGAGGCTGAAACGCGTCGCGTTTCTGATTCTCCTCGTTTGCTCCAGTATTAGTCACTGAATCCGGAGGAAAAAAGCAGAAGAAAGAAACAGGGAGGATAAATTCTGTGTCTTGGTGTTTTTTTTTTTAATAAGTAATGCTAATAATGTTGAAGGGAAGGACCGATTGGCCACCGAGTCTGACTCGAATCTGCTGAATATTGGGGGAGTTGGTTCAACGCCTGGTTTTGATTCTCCAGAAAGAATAGGAATCGGTGATGGAAAATGATTCCATTTGTCTTCCGTGTGAAGATTTTGTGGACGAATTTCTTATTTCTTAATGTGATTGATACTTGTGGTTACTTAAGCGCACTTTCGTGGAGAAATTTCTAGTCTTCCAAGTTTGTTTGAAGATTCGTTCAAGCCATGCCCACACCGGCGATGAGTAGCAAAAGGTGAGAGCTTCTTGGGCTTTTTACTCGGGAAAATTTGAACTTGTTTTCAAGCTCTGCTCAAAAAACCCAAGGACTCACTAATTCTTTGACCCTTTTCTTGTACAATTTTTGGCAATTATTGGTGAGTTCTCAATTTCTTCACTCTGTATTGTTGCGGGGAAACATTGCGGATTTTTGCTTGGTGTTGAATTTAGAAACTATTCTCAGCTCTGTTTTGTTCATAGTGACAACCACCTTGCTCTTTTGACTCTCTACCTTACTCAAGTGTGGGCTTTTGTTGATTTTTGAGCTTCAACTCTTTCTCTTCCTTCACATAGAGTTTTCTTGCTGTCTATGGATAAGAGAAACCATCTAGTTCTTCCCCGCAGGAAAACATCGAAGTTGGCCACATTCTTCATTTTCTACTTCCTCATCACCACTGTGCAATGCCATGAGAGGCTAGTCAAGCATATCTCCACTGAGCCTCCGTCACCATCTAAGGCCCCAGAATTCAAGGATAGATTTCAGAGGATTATCTTGAGCATATTGTTTGGAGTCATAACTGGATTGATTTGTGCCCTTCTATTTGCTTGCGTAATCCGATGTTTCATCAGGTACATCAACAGAACTCCCATTCTTAAGGGCCCAGTTGTGTTTTCTCCTAAAATTCCACCCAAGACCCTAGAGTCAGCCCTTTCAAACGAAACCCTGTTGCTAGGGCCAAACCCTAATAGTAAGTACTACAGAACTGTTCTTGACAATGGGCTGACGATTGCTGTCAAGAGGCTTGAGCTCTTTGGAAATGGGTCTCCACAGATTCAGAGCAAGTCGGCTAAGAAAAAAATACAGCAGGAGCTTGAAATGCTTGCTAATTTGCGGCACCGGAATTTGATGAGCTTAAGGGCTTATATTCGTCAATCCCTTGGGTTTTCGTTGGTTTATGATTATATGCCCACTGGGAATCTTGACGATGCAATGACCAGAGTGAGAGAAAATCAGTTGCAACTCAGCTGGGATATCCGGCTCCGGATTGCCATTGGGATCGTTAAAGGGCTCCATTATCTTCACTTCAGCTGTACCCCTCAAGTTTTGCATCACAACCTGAAGCTTACGAATGTGATGTTGGAAGCAGAGTTTCAGCCGAGGTTGGCGGACTGTGGGTTGGCTAAGCTCATACCCAATTTTGATAGAGGTGCATCGGGCTACACTGCTCCTGAGTGTTTTCAGAATTGCAGGTACTTGAGTTATGTTCTAAGATGGAAATCTAATTGTTGTAGTTCATTTCAATTTCAATATTTAACCCACCATTCATTTACAAGTTTTCGTGTTCTGGATCAATACCTGCTCTAGGCACAGTAAGGTATCTAACATGCTTTGAAGTTCAATTTGTGGTCTAATTTCTTATGCATTATTACCAACTTACCTTTCTCACATTGAACTTGGTATTCTTAAGGAGCTCCTAATTTGACTGCTTAAATCNTGAAGTTCAATTTGTGGTCTAATTTCTTATGCATTATTACCAACTTACCTTTCTCACGTTGAACTTGGTATTCTTAAGGAGCTCCTAATTTGACTGCTTAAATCTCCAAAAGCATTTGGTTGTCTTAGAAAACTAATATTCTTAATCGTTATTGTTTTTCCCCTACTTAAGAGTTTCATTTGTCAGAGTAAAGGTCCAGGGAAATGCGCAAGTCATAATAGACAGAACCTAGTGAAGCATTTATGTGAAAACTTCCCTAAAATGGAAAGGATAAAGTACAAGTATACTAGAGGGCTGTTTCTCTTTCTGGTCCATCGGTGAATATCAAGCAACTGGAGTTGATTTTTTTTAAGTTTTTTGTATGTCTCGGGTCTTGGAGGAAACATTTTAACTAAAGCTCACCCAATAGATATGCCAGTTTTTCTCCAATCATATTGTGTTCTGATTTATGCAAGTTCTATAGCTGATTGGGGCCAAAGATTTGTGAATTAGATGATACTGTGCTTGTTTTGATATTGTAATATGGCATATACATTGCTGTTTACTAAATCTGAATGTAATGTTGAGACTGGGATTTTTTCTCCCTCCCATTTGCAATCAGGTACACTGACAAGAGTGATGTATTCAGCTTTGGGGTCATATTGGGTGTTCTGTTGACTGGTAGAGACCCCATGGATCCATTCTTTACAGAAGCTACCGGTGGTGGAAGTCTGGGACGGCGGCTTCGGCATCTGCAGCAAGCAGGTGAGGCTAGGGAAGCCCTGGATAAAAGTATTCTTGGGGAAGAAGTCGAGGAAGATGAGATGCTAATGGCAATAAGAATTGCTGTTGTATGTCTTTCTGACTTGCCTGCTGATCGCCCCTCCAGTGACGAGCTTGTTTCTATGCTAACCCAATTAAACAGTTTCTGAAGACACACCTAAGTTGCTATTGACACTTCAGTTTCTCCAGATTTAGGTAATTGATTGTTTTGAAGGAGACTTCACTCACTGCCAAAGAGCTTTTGGTTGATCCCACAGCTTCTCACGTGTAGCTGTCCAATTTGTTGATTGGGTTTTTCCGTGGAAGCAACCAATCTGCTGTGACATTTTAATTGCCTTATCATCAATCCAAATGGAGTTGGCTCTAGTGAATTTGTGAAGTGTCTAAAATGGTGTTAAGGGTGCTGATAGTGGCTCTCCACCACTGCAGTTTGTATGTGTAAATGACCAATACTGTGTGAAGAAGCTAATGAAATTTAAAGAGATTCCTATAGTGCTTGAAACCAGTACTATGTTGGACTGGAGACACCTGCTTTAAAGTTCTTTTAACATATAATGATGGTGGGGTTCTGGTATGGTCAATTTAGACAACTTTTTGGAAGTCATGTGGTTCTCTTTGCATGGCTCAGGATGAGCCTGAGCCTGGGATGTTGGTGTAAGAACTTTTGAGTTCTTACTACACCAAATCAACTAACCGTCAATAGATTGTCCGTGTAGGTTGCTGCCAGAATCTGATAACAGGCATAACATAGCAGTTGTGTCTGCGGATAGATTCAGGCCACTTAAAATGCCCTTGTGGGGTGGTTGTATGGATACAAGTGTTCTTTTTCTTTGGTCTAGGTGAGGGACTTTGCTAAGCAAACTCCCACTATAGGACAGCTGACCCGTTTCTCGAGTATTTGGGGTCAGCTTGCAATTTAAATGATATGAGGTTGTCCCAACTTTCTATCATGTTGGACAGGGTATCAAAAGATATATTTGGGTTGACTCTTTCATAGGGGTCTCTATTTTATTTCTGAGGGCTGTGGAAGACAATTTGTCTGTGTCTCTCATTTCAATCTTACCAGACCAATAGCCCAAAACAAGAGAATGAAACNCAACTTTCTATCATGTTGGACAGGGTATCAAAAGATATATTTGGGTTGACTCTTTCATAGGGGTCTCTATTTTGTTTCTGAGGGCTGTGGAAGACAATTTGTCTGTGTCTCTCATTTCAATCTTACCAGACCAATAGCCCAAAACAAGAGAATGAAATATTTTCATTTTGAAAAGATATGGAAATCTACTAATTTAATTTGCAAGTCGCGCATGAGTAAGTTCGTTCATGTTCATGCCGTGGGAGCATGAACAGTCTGGGAAAAGCATGTGGTGGTGGTACTCNTGAAATATTTTCATTTTGAAAAGATATGGAAATCTACTAATTTAATTTGCAAGTCGCGCATGAGTAAGTTCGTTCATGTTCATGCCGTGGGAGCATGAACAGTCTGGTAAAAGCATGTGGTGGTGGTGGTACTGGGGGTGGGGTCGTTGAGGATGGCAAGACTCAGAGAGGTCAGGCGCCTGGAGCCTAAATTGGCATGCTCCTCTTAAAGGATTAGTACAAAAGGCATGTTAAAACTGTCACTTCACCACGTAACATACAAAGAGATTGATTCCCGTGAAATAATTTGAAGAACCCGTCAGGCGTCACAAGTGTATTAAGTTTCTTACTGTTGCATGTATCAAATTATTCACCTGTAAGAAACCGGTTACTAAATCAAAACAGGAAATCATGAGAAAATTGATCTTCCAATTTTTCGTGTTCAAGCAATAGATCATCGGATACTAACCTGAACATTAGTATTAGAAGAGAATATGAATATCATCATCGTATCATCAGTTTTCTGATACAAAAGCAGCACTTATGGTAACAAGGGAGCATACATAGCCCACGTACACAAGAGGTAAACAAACTAACCAACAAAATGAAGAAACAAACATCCGCACTAAGTAGCATTGAGATCGCACTGTTCCAAGACTGAAGAATAATTTTGAAACTCCATTTTAGAAAAATAATGTTTCCGCAGATGGAACATTAAGCATGTTCTGCATACAATACTACTATTCTTGGTCTTCACCTATGCCTTCTAAAATCAGATACTGAAGAGCTATGGAGTATTTAGCAGATCTCATTCTCCTTTTGCCGACAGTTCCCNAAGAATAATTTTGAAACTCCATTTTAGAAAAATAATGTTTCCGCAGATGGAACATTAAGCATGTTCTGCATACAATACTACTATTCTTGGTCTTCACCTATGCCTTCTAAAATCAGATTCTGAAGAGCTATGGAGTATTTAGCAGCTCTCATTCTCCTTTTGCCGACAGTTCCCGAATTGAAGTCGTTCTTGAGAAGAAACAATCCAGTGCCATCACCTTTCATAAAAAACACCCAATGCATAATGTTCAAATACCAACCAAGAATATACATGTTAAAGAGGGACTGCAAGTTAAAAGACACCATCAATCATCATAATTCCTCCTTGTGCAAACCATTGCACAAACAACTAGGACAAGCAACAGTTATACCAAATTGGGATCAGTGTACAACTGATTTATCCGACCACACACCTTTAACTGTGTAAATGGATGATACCCATCTCTTATAAATGTAGAGTAACCTCGGCANCAGTTATACCAAATTGGGATCAGTGTACAACTGATTTATCCGACCACACACCTTTAATTGTGTAAATGGATGATACCCATCTCTTATAAATGTAGAGTAACCTCGGCGAGTCACTGTGGTGTGTATCGGAGAGTAGAAGCTTACATGGCCCTGTTTCCCTAACATAGAAGACATTTCAGTTCAAGAACAGATATTTGGTATACATCATTGTATCAAATAGGGTATCACACACGAAGTAATAGTTGCTTACCTAGCATGAGCTATTGCGTTGTGACACAGAGCTAAAGTTCGAATCATTGCCAAGTCTTTTCCACGAGGATTGTTGTATCTTTCTTGGCAATTTCTTGAAGAAACCAACACAAATTAAGTGAACAAAAACATGAAAAGTGAAATTTTCATTTGTTATGTACTTCAAAATAATTTACATAAGAAATGTGAATCAAATTCCAAGCAAATTTATGGAAAGAAATCGCAATTCATAATCAGGTGCATATCGATCTACACAACACACACATCAAATTTAAACATCTGCCAAGAAAATAAAGTACCTATCATCAAAGAAATCCCCGAAATCATCGATAATTATTGAAAGAGGAAATGCATCATGAATGTGAAATGCAGCGAAATACTTTTTGATATCTTCATGATCATCCAAGTACCTTGCAGGAAAATTCTTACTGTTATCAGCAATAGGTGGCAGAAACAAAGAAATGATAATTTGTGGTAATTATTGATCCATTAGGGAACAAAATGACAAAATTGAAGCTTTAAAAACCAAATTGACAATGGCCAAAATTACTTTTTAATAGGATACATAATAATGCTAAAGATGTTGATTCTTACTCACTTCATTTGTATACGCTGGAAGATATCAGAAGATGGATCAATGCCCTAAAAAAAATAAATGTTAGCAGATTGACAAAAAAATATGAGGAGGCATATTAGAAGTAAAATTTGATACAGTAAGAGAAGAAAAAGAAGAGGATTTTACCTGAGAGAGATAAGGGGGTTTGGTTTCCAACCTGCGCCTGTTGCACAAGAACACCACTGCACCACTTAAAGATGAGTTAAATGCAAATTGGAATAGCAAAGAGGACTTCCCACTGCATTTCAACATATATTTAGTTAGATTTATTTGCAGAGAAAAGAGTGCCATTTCTGAAAGGGTGTGAGTGTGTCTAGTTGTTTATGGAGAAAAATAGAAAAAGGAGAAATTACGAGGAAGGAGGGCCAGAGAGCAGAAGAATTGAGTCAGAAGGTTGGTCTGGTTGGAAATCCATTTGCCCCACGGCGGAGAAGAACCTCTCCACCATCATCCCAAATTGCGCTACTCTCTAAATTTGATCCTGAACATACTGACTGGAGTTCTACAGTTGAATAATAATAATAACAATAAAGAGTGAGAAAGGACTCCCTAATAAATTAACTGTTGTTGACTGCAATAATGTTGTGGTTGGGTCATTTTAGATAGAAAAAGGTTTTGAGTTCAGGTTTGGATTTGAGCATCTATAAAACAAAGTACAACATAAACAATGGCTTTTATTTTTTGCAGTTGAGATTGTTTCAAATTTTATTTAAAAGTTAATGTGATAGCTAATATTAACTCCCCAAATTTAATAAATAAAATAGGCCTCCCTAAGGGGGTGTTTGGGGCAATTTTTCAAAAGTGGTTTTAAGGCTTATGTCTTCTCATTAGCATTTAAAAAAAAAAAAGTGTTTGGATCAACTTATTTTAATTATTTACAAATAAGCCAAAAGGACTAAGTAAGTAAAAGTAAAAAAATAAATTTTACTTTTTTAAAATCACTTCTCTATAAAACACTTCACCACAACCATCGCCTCCGCCATCCCACCACCACCACTCCACCACCACCATCATCACCGCCACCCCACCACCACCACCACAACCACCATCTCTACCACAATCACCATTGCCATTGCCACCACTCATCACCCACCACCACCGTCATCACTCACCACCGATTGCTATTACTATAGCCCACCGCTACTATTATCATTTTATTCTTATATTTATTATCACTACCACCATCATCCCACCACTACTATTGTCCACCGCCACCATTTACCAGCACTATCGCCCACCGCCACCGCTCACCAAAATCCACCACTATCCATCATCGCCCACCATCGTCGTCACCCAGCCCCACCATACCTACCACCACCAACCACCATCACCCATCATCACTGCCACCTACCCCCACTACCACCGTCGCCCAGAAACACTTGTTGTCGCCCCCACCATCATTACTGTCAACCAACATCATCGTCGCTCACCACACCCACACCCACCATTATCATAGCTGTCACTCATGACTATCACTATAACCATCGTCATCCAAAACCCACTGCCACCATCACCGTTGTCATTCACGGCTACCACCACCACCACCACGGTCGTCGCGACCCACCACAACCATCACCATTAACGCCCACCGTCACTACTACCACTCACCCCTATTACAACTAATACTTAAATTCTTTCCAAATAAGAACAACTTTTTTTAATTATTTTCAAATAAGTTAAAATTAGTAAGTAAAAGTAACAAAAAAAAATTTCTACTTCTTTAAAATCACCTCTTTACAAAATATTTCACCACTATAATCGTCGTCACCGCCNAAAAAAAAAATTTCTACTTCTTTAAAATCACCTCTTCACAAAATATTTTACCACTATAATCGTCGTCACCGCCACCACCATTATCGCCCCACCACCACCTCTGTCGCCACCCCACCGCCATCACCATTAACACCACCACCACCATCGCCGCCACCACAGCCACCCCTAATTCTACCATCACCATCGTCAACCACTACCGAATTGCTACCACCATCGCCACCAACCACGACCATCATCATCTCATTCTTCTATTTATTAACACTATCACAATTATCTCACTACCACCGTTGCGCACCGCCACCACCCACCACGACCATCGCTGCCCACCACCAACCATCATCACCCACCACCCCCACCACACCTATCACCACCACCACTACCACCGTCACCCACAAACACCCATCGTCGCCTAACACCACTCACACCGTCCATCACCACAACCCATTGCCACCCACCCCCACTACACCTACCACCACAACCGCCATTCGCCACCACCCACCACCACCAATGTCACTGTCCACCACCATCTTCGTCACCCCACCACTACCACTACTGTCACTCACCATCACCTTCACTTACCACCACCCACACCCACTATCCATGACTGTTATTACCACCATCGTCACCCAAAATCCACAACCACTATCACTGTTGTCAGCAACGACTGCCATTACCACCATGGTCGTCGCCGCCCACCAAAAACCATCACCTTCTCTCACCACCACCACTACTACCACCCACCATTGCTCACTCATACTACAACTGGTGCTTAAATTTCTTTCCCTTTCCTCTCTGTGAATTAATTTTGGGTGTGAATAAAAATATGTTTATGATTGACAATTTTTTTATTACTATGTATTTTCAAGCACGGACAATAACTAATACTATAATATGAGACTTATATTTGGTTTTATCTTTAACTTAATTTTTATAGCCCTAAAAACATACTCAACATGTGCACAAATGGTCTATTTAATGTAACTGACAATAACAACACAAGGCATAAATACGACAATAAACATATGAGAGTACAGAGGCTGAGGGTAATATGAAAAACTGGTTAACTGCACATTCTCACTCAATTCTCAATTTTAGAGAGCCAACTATAAAAAAATCAAGCTCCAATACTTAGACCAACTAAAATGGAGAGTTCAAAGTTAAACTCACCCGCTACTCTATATTAATTAATGAAAAGATGATAGATATACCTTTTTCATTAAAAGTTTTAAGTATAAATGCTATTTTGCTACTAGAATGTAGAGTTCTGTTGTAGTTACTACAAAAATTTCACTCTTTATTTTAACTTTTTATCAAATATGCTCTCTATTTTTTAAAATAGAGACACTATTAGAGATGCCCTTACACATTGACACACTTTTAAAAATCGAATAATCAAAAGTGTCAGTTTTTTCCCTATCTACAACATCTACTATTAGATTGTAGTCCATTCATGCCTACCCAGTTCCCATTAACCAGAAACATACTCTATCCAACAATCCTCTTAACAAATTAGTCTTTCTCACAAATAGATTTGGTTGGTGTTGCTTGCAGTTTGACAAACCACTTCATAGAATGTTCTCTCACAATTGCTCTCAACTGCTACGAGTAGTATTATCATTCGTTGGATTTCACAATAGTCCAAACCTCAAACCCATGATTTGTGTTCTTGTGATTTCATTAAATTTGTCCATCTTGATAAGGCATCTTGGAGAAAGTCACAAAAGTGGCCAAAAATTCTAACATTTAATAGGGGGGGAGAGAAAGAGACCAGGGCAGGCATTTTTTTTTTTTTGTTCTAGAGAGACTCCAAAAAATCTTTTGATTTCTTGATTATTTTTTCTTCAAATTTCTTCTTTGTTTCTGTAAATCATTGTTTTCTTCATAGATTCTAAGATGATTCATCACAAAATTCCCCCCAAACCTCCTAATATCTTCAAGAATTTTGCTTCCTTGTTCAAAAAGTCTTCGAATGTTGCGAATACTCTGAAATTTTTGGATACGATTCTTGAAAATGAATATGTTTCTTTTGCGAATCAGTTTAGTCAGGGAAAATCGTTGTATATGCCTCCTAATTCAACTTCATCGTTTTAGATTCATTGGGATTCTCAGATCCATTCGATTCCTCATCGTTCTTCAGCAACTCAAGTTTCTTTGAATCCTCATATTTCTATGAACAATTCAATTCCTTCATCTTCTCAAAGTGATTTGGGTATGAATGTTCCTTCGTCTGCTCAGATCCATTTGTCATCTCAAGTTCCCGTGGTTTCTACATCTGAGCAGGAGGTTTCGAAGAGAATACTCTCTTTTGTGCCTCTCTCGAAGCCTGCGAAGAGGGTTGTGTATAATAAGGAGGAGCCTGATATGTATTGGACGTCTGAAGAAACTAAAGATTTATCGTCTAGATTTCAACAGACCTTGATTGGAATATGCGCATACGGAAAACCATCATTGGGGGATATCAGAGAATTTATCAAGACTAGATGGATGCCTAAGGGTGAATTCTTTGTAGGAATCCCGGATTCTCGTCATATTTTGATTCATTTTAGTTTGTATGAGGATTACGTGAAGACTTGGTTGAAGGATGCCACGTACATTGAGGGGTATTTATCCAGGTTTTTTGAGTGGTTTCCTGAGTTCATGCCAAGTATGGAACCTCCAGCAGTGCCTGTCTGGATTTCATTACCTGGTCTGCCCATTCATTTGTTCAATCAGGAAAGCCTCAGGGATATTTTGAGCCTAAATGGGAGAATCTTGGTGATTGATTCTAAGTCTTTCAAGGCCAGGGGTTANCTGGTCTGCCCATTCATTTGTTCAATCAGGAAAGCCTCAGGGATATTTTGAGCCTAATTGGGAGAATCTTGGTGATTGATTCTAAGTCTTTCAAGGCCAGGGGTTACTACAGCGTGTGTTGAGATGAATCTATTGGCTGATAACCCGAGAAGATTCAGGCTGGATATGAGAGGGGCAAGTGGAAGATGGAAAAAAATTTCCTATGAAAAAGACTATAAATACTACACACGATGTTTGAAGCAGGGGCATGATGACGCTTTGTGCAGAAAAAAACAGAAAGATGAAGGTGATAAAATGAATAGGCATGATGGTAATATGGATCAGTTAAAGGAGCAAGCAGATCCAATACGAGGTGGTGAGAGAAGAGAGGGTAAAGAAAAGGAGGTGTTTCAGGAGGTTAAAGGAAAAAGGCAGAGAAGAGAGTTTAAGCAGAAGGATGTGGTGTAAAAGCAAAGCCTTGAGAATAATTTTTTTGCTTTAAATAGGGAATTTGATGCTTGTCATTCTAAAGAGAAGGGGGAATGTTCGGAGATGAATTGTCAGTCTCTGAATGGGGTTCTGAATGTAGCTGAAGAGGTTAATGAAGAGCTGGAAGTTGATGCTAATAATAGACGGGGAGTTATGTCAGTTCTAGAAGGTGTGGGTCTATCGAAGAGTCAAGAGCCTCTTTGTTTTCCAAAAAGGCAGATACCTGCTCGGAATTCAGATACACTATTGGAGTGTGAAGGATCTTCTTTGGGAGTAGAGTTGGGGTGTATGGAAAATCAAATTTCTGATTCCAGTAAGGCAGAGTTAGTTGTGAATACGAAGGAAAATGAAAACCTGAGTGAGGGTGAGGGGATTTGTTGGGAGATGTTGTTGTTGAGTCTGATCAATTACAGGAGAATGAGAAGGATTGTATGGAGGTTGAAAAGGAATTAGAAGAGGGAACGAAGTTAGAATCCATTTGTCTGGTAAACAAGCAGTATTGCCCTGTTTCGGATTCCTTTTTTGTAGACAGGCAATATGGTGTAAGGAGAGTAGATAATTATTCTCTGGATGATAATCTGGGTCTGGTAAGGAATAAAGAACCTCCAGATGAGGGCTTCCTATCTGATCAAAAAAGCTCTAAGTCTTGGGCTGATATTGTAGAAGACAGTAAGGATGCAGATGATGATTATGTGGATCCCTCTACTGTTCATACCAAGTTAGGTCTCGGATGTAATTCTTCTCCTACCCTCAATTTATGAATTTTATGGTTTTGAATGTGAGAGGTGCTGGAAAAAAGGTTTTGAGAAGCGGATTAAAGAAGTTAGTTGTTATGAATTGAGTTTGTTTTTTGGTTGTACTGGAGCCAAAGATGAATTCTGTGAAATTGAGGTCTTTTGCTTCATCTGTAGGGTTGAGATTTTTTGTGGCCAATTCCTTGGCCAAGAAAAATGTGTGGTTGTTGTGGAATGAGGATATGGAGGTAAAGGTGGTGATGGAATNTTGAGGTCTTTTGCTTCATCTGTAGGGTTGAGATTTTTTGTGGCCAATTCCTTGGCCGAGAAAAATGTGTGGTTGTTGTGGAATGAGGATATGGAGGTAAAGGTGGTGATGGAATATGAACAGGCCATATCAGTGGTTGTGTCATGTTTAGGTTCTGAACCTTTTTTTGATAACAGTAGTGTATGTGTGTTGTGATCATGTGTTGAGAAGGCTTTTGTGGTTACATCTGCAAGAAGTCTCTTCTTCTTTCTCTATGGCATGGTTGGTCATGGGGGATTTTAATGCCATTTAAATTCTTCTGAGAGGCTGAGGGGTTCATATCCGTATGTTATGGCAATGGAAGAGTTTAGAGCTTGTGTTCAGCCTGAGGGTCTTATAAATTGTGGGTTCGAGCGAAGCAGCTATACTTGGTGTAATAATCATGATGGAAATTCTAGAATGTGGCAACGTTTGGATAGAGTTTTTATTTACTTTGATTGGGATGCTAGATTTGATAGCTCTCAAGTTATCCATTTAGCGAGGGGAAGTTCAGACCATTGCCCTTTATTGATCAAAATTATGGAGCAGTCAGAGCAACAGAGAATTGCTTATTTCAGGTTCCTGGATATGTGGACTGAGGACAAGTCTTTTTTGCCTTTGGTTTCTAGTAATTGGAATGGATGCTATTCTAATAATCCTATTGAGGATTTTTTTCTAAAGATGAAAATTTTTAAAATTTCATATAAAGAAGTGGAATAGGGAGGTGTTTGGTGATATATTTGAGAAAATTAAGAAGCAGGAGTTAGCTTTGAGTGATGCTGAGAAGGAGATGGAGTCTAATGGTTCAGAGGCTAATTTTGCATGGTTGGAATGTGCTAGGAGTAGTTTGGAGAGTAGACTGAGGTTAGAAGAGATATTCTGGAGGCAAAAAGCAAATGTAAAGTGGGCTTTGGAAGGAGAAAAAAACACAAAATTTTATCATGTTATTGCCAAAGGTAAGTCCAGAAAGGATAGAATCAGAAGAATAAAGTCTGAGAATGGGGAATGGTGTTGTTCTGAAGAGGAAATTACTGAGCAGGCTGTATCTTCTTTTTTTTTGTCATTATATAAGTCAGAAACTCATGATATACTGGAGGAGTTGTTTGATGTGGTGCCTAAGGAGGTGAGTTTTGAGGAAAATGAGAGGCTGATTGCAGCAGCAACTATGAATGAATTGAAAAAGGTGGTATTTTCTATGTCGGTGAAAAGTGCCCCAGGGGCATATGGGTATTTAGGAAAAAAATTTCAAGTAGCATGGGATGTCATTAAGCATGATTTGCTTAAGGCTACTAATTTTTTCTTGAAGGGTGGAGTTGTATCGAGGTCTGTACAAGGTTTTTACTAAATTGTTAAATAATAGATTGACTGTGATTTTACCAAGATTAGTTTTAGCAACTCAGCATGGTATTGTTAAAGGGATGAGTATTGGGGATTGTATATCTCTGGCTCAGTTTATGGTAAATGAGTTAGATAGGAAGATGGAGGCAGGTAATGTGGAGGTGAAGCTTGATATGATGAAGGCCTATGACCATATTGAATGGGACTTTCTATTAAAAGTCTTGAAATGCTTTGGTTTTTCAGAGTTATTTGTTTCTATTATAGGCAATTGTTTTAAGAATCAGTTTATTTCCATCTGTTTAAATGGTCAAAGGAAAGGATTCTTCCATACAACTAGGGGATTGAGGCAGGGGGATCCCATTTCTCCTTCTATTTTCATTTTGGATGAGGAAGTACTTAGCAGAGGTTTGTGTAAGCTGTATGCTGAGGGTGGAGTGAAAACTTTTCATATAGGAAGAGGGGCTGTTTTGATTTCGCATATGCTCTTTGCAGATGATACCCTATTATTTTTAAGGGGTAATAAACAGTCTTTGGAACACTTGTTTGGATTTTTGAGTAAGTATGAACAGAGTTCTGGGCAAAGAATCAGTAAGCAGAAAAGCTCTCTAATTTGTTCTGCCAGAATTTCTCAGGGAAGGAGATTGGCTTTGTCTCGATTGACTCAGATCCCTTTAAAAGAGTGTCCTATTACTTATTTAGGATGTCCTCTTACTAACGGAAGGAGTAGACTTGGAGATTTTGAGGAGGTTGTTTTAAAGTTTAAGGCCAAGTTGGAAGGGTGGTATGCAAAATTGCTTTCTAATATGGGAAGAGTGATCTTGGTACAGTCTGTTCTTAATGCTGTCCCTATTCATTTGTTATCTTGTTTAAATCTACCTAAGGGTATTTTAGCAAGATTGAACTCATTGATGGCATCATTTATTTGGTCTGGGAAAGCTGGGGTGAGAAAGAGGCATTGGGTCTCTTGGAGTGATATTACTAAACCTAAGCAGGAAGGTGGTTTAGGGATTAGAAAACTGGAGGATGTACAGGCAGCTTTTCAATTGAAACAGGCCTGGGGATTCTGAAGGGGAAATCTTTGTGGGCAAAGGTTTTTGCTGCTAAATTCTTTAAGCATCAGCATATGATAAGGTGCTTGTCTCAGGGAAGGTCTAAGTGTTTTAGAGTCTTGCAGCCTTGGTTTTCTATTGTTGTTTCTAATTCACTGAGTATTGTTGGGAATGGTAGATCAGTGGACTTTTGGTGTTCAAATTGGCTAGGGTCAGGACCTTTGCTAAGAAGAATATCTGAAATACCACAATGCTTTCCCAAGGTGGCAGAGGTGTGTGAAGGGTCTGTATGGCAATGGCAGAAGCTGGGGGACTTGGTGACAACTCAAATGAAGGAAGAAATTATATCTTCTGGTGTATGTATTGATGAAAGAGATGATAGATTGGTATGGAAGCTATGTGATACTGATTTTTTTTCAGTAAAATCTGCATGGCAGCTAATAAGGTGTACTGGTTCAGAAAGCAGAACAGATTCAATAATATGGAAGCAGGTTGTTCCCCCTAGTGCTAGTTTGTTGCGTTGGAAGTTATGTAGGGATGCGATACCCAAAGATTCAAGATTCCAGCGAGTGGGTGTATGTTTAGCTAGTAAGTGTTTTTTATGTGAAAAGCAAGGGTATGTTGGATTTTGAGCTTATTGAAAATGAGGGACCTTTGTTGGGATTCATGCGATTGGTGAAGGTGTTCAAAAAACAGTCCTTAAGCCATATATTGTTAAGGGGTTTGTCTTTAATTGTTTTTTGGCAACTTTGGAGGGAAAGGTGTCGCAGAGTGTATGGGGAAGGAAGTGTCACTTCCTACTCTATTTTTTTGAAGGTCTGTGCCATACTTAGACTGCAAGCTTTTGGAATTAAAGCTAGAAGTCTAGAGAGTGCTGCTGGGAGGAGGGTGCTATCTGAGTTAAGAATTGATGGTGGTACTGTTCAGGTTAGGGCTATATGGGTAAACTGGAACCCTCCTATGGTGGATTGTTTAAAGCTGAATGTTGATGGTGCTTCCAAAGGAAACCCAGGAAGAGCAGGAGGAGGGGCAGTAGTGAGAAATCACTAGGGGGCATTGGTTCTTGCTGCCTCATTCTTCTATGGGGAATGTTCCAGTATGGAGGCTGAGTTAAGAGCCTTAAAGGATGGTTTGTGTTTGATTGAGAGGTATGGCTTGACAGCTTATCAATTTCAAATTGAAGCTGATTCTAAAGCTATGGTGAATATGGTATTAAAAGGTCATTGGAGAGCTTGGAAATATTGGGATCTTCTTAGGCATATTTTGGAGATTTTGGGCAGGCTGCAGTATCGGTTTGGGCATGTTTACCGAGAGGCTAACTTTTTGGCTGATTTTTTCGCTAATGTGGCTGTGCTGCAAGGGTGTTCTACCGATTTTTCCCATCTGCTTGACATTCCTCCACAGGCAAAGGTGATATTACTTCGGGATCAAGAAGGGTTCAAAGTCTTGCGCAAGAAAATTGTTATTCTTTGATTCTTGTAAAGTTTTCTTGTTTTGAAAATTGTAAAGGCAGGCTTGTCTGTATTATTCATGATTGTAATTCTTTTCTCATGAAATAAAGTGTTGATTTGTTTAAGAAAAAAAAAGAGAGAGAAAGAGACAAGAAGGAGATGTTCAAGAGGAGTTAAGAAGTTGTTCCCTACAACGGTTTGTAAACGACATTCAAAGTATAGGTGTAAACCAAGTAGCCTATGCTTACTTCGAAGTCTAGGTGGTAAATATGTAGAGTTGGGTAAATTTTTTACTTGTATCTACCAAGCAAAACTTCCTCCATGTTATATCCTAGTAATTTGTCCCTTGCAGCAGGCAGCTTCTATTGTTTTCTGCATGTAGAGAGGCTTAAAAACAATTCATGTGAATTTTATGTGTTGCTTATTTGCTGGATTGTTCATCATCCTTCTACGTATTCCTTGACATTCTTTCATAAAATCCTCAGGGCACCGAAGCATTCTTTAAATACTGAATTTTCTTGCATTGAAATTCATCCCTCCCAACAGGATGAAAGATTACATGGGCGGACAATTTTTGAGTGCCCGATACACATTNAATTTTCTTGCATTGAAATTCATCCCTCCCAACAGGATGAAAGATTACATGGGCGGATAATTTTTGAGTGACCGATACACATTGTTAACATCATATCACTATTGAATAATCTTATAATGCACTTCTAGTTGTAATGATGAAATGACCTATCTAATAGAATTCTACATCCAAACAGATTAAGGGTATACCAGTTATGAGTGATTAGCGAAACAAGAAAAGGACGATACACAGATCAATAATCTATTTACTTCTTTGTCCAATCAAGTTAAAGGCAGAAAGACATTCAAGCAGCTATCNATGAGTGATTAGCGAAACAAGAAAAGGACGATACACAGATCAATAATCTATTTACTTATTTGTCCAATCAAGTTAAAGGCAGAAAGACATTCAAGCAGCTATCACTCCATATCGCATATTATCTATGAAATGCACAAAAAATACAATAATGTGCTAAATGACAAACATACTGACACATACTAGAGAAGCAGAATAACATGATTCATAACAAACTAAGGAAACTAAATACATCGAAATGTGAACATGTCGAAATAATGACGTCAAACAGAAGCATATAATTTGTATTTTTATAGAAAAATCTAATCAAATTCCTATAAAGCATTTCTTGCGATTAGAAGTCTTAAACACTAAAATCTGACTTCTGTCTAGAAACATAAAATAAGGAACAATTAGTTCTGAGGGAAGTGCACTAACCAGCAAGAGATGTATAGAGACTGAAGGGGATCT